ATATATATAGAGAGAGAGAGAGAGAGAGAGAATTCAAGGTGAGGAATTTGAATTTGCATTGTTAAAGGAGATTCTTGGTTTAAGGAAAGTAGGCAACTCTGGTTTTCTAAAATTTAGTAACATCTGACCAGCTAATATTGTAACTCAGAATGAACTTTTTAACATACTTTAAGAATTTGCATACCTGTACTCAAGAGAATTATTTAACCTGGTGTACTGACTTCCTGAAAGCATGCAAGTTTGAGTGAGTGTACCCACTTTTGTTCTAACCTACCTTGCTTTCACCATTTCCAGTCTCATCCATGAAAGTATGAAGCTGTGGTTCTTGAAAGTCATAGCACTGCTGCCCTCGTGTGGAAATTTATAGCATTTGACAATCCCTTCGGTAGCCTTTCAAATTGTCCTTATTCGGAGGTTTGTCATTACTTTCCTTACCAGAAGACCTTTATAATGTCACGTTGAATGTGGTATTAACAAACTCTTTTCTGGTATCCTCTTGTGAGATTAACATTATAAAAGGATAAACTTTGTCCCTTATGAATGCCGGGGTTGTTGTCTGTAAACTGTTTTCCTTCCCTCTCTCTCATTTACATACCAGAGAAAATAAGCTGAAATAAGTACAGATCACATTGAGAAAGTTACCCACCCTGATTCCTGACTTGCTTGCCCAGGAAAACCTGCAGCAGGATAGTAACACCCATGTTAGCAGGGGGAGCCACGTGTGGTTATTTTATGTACCTTTTTTAAAAAATGAATTATTGTATGTTTCAGTATGTGGAAAGCCTTATACCGACTATCAGAAACAAGCAACAGCTCTGCTATCCTGGGATTTAGGTTAGGGCATGTGGCTTTGTTGTAATGTACCCCGCGAATCACAGAAGGACGCCTCAAGAAGTCGAATTAAATAGTCACATTTATTGCAATCCGGGACTATGAGGGGTCATTCCCAAATCTCATAGTAATAAGATGGTGGCAAAACCAAGTAAATAAATAGGTAAAAATGAAAAGAAAATAACAGCAAAAAGACATCATCCTGCCTTGTACATCCAGATTGTACCACTGTTTTTTCATAGGTGCATCTCACTGGTTTACTTTACTTTTTTAAATCCTGGTAAAATATACCTAGCATAAAATTTTCCCTATTAACCATTTTTAAGCGTATAGTTCAGCAGCATCAAATACATTCACACTGCTGTGCAACCATGAACACTGTCCATTCTCCAGAATGTTTCATCATCTCAAACTCAAATTCCATACCTATTAAACAATAATGTCCCCATTGTTCCCTTCCCCCTGGCCCTAGGTCAGCCGTGGGCAAACTACGGCCCGCGGGCCGGATCCGGCCTGGTTGGAATGAATAAAACTAAAAAAAAAAAACCGTACCCTTTTTTTTAATGATGTTTACTTTGAATTTATATTAGTTCACACAAACACTCCATCCATGCTTTTGTTCCGGCCCTCCGGTCCAGTTTAAGAACCCATTGTGGCCCTCGAGTCAAAAAGTTTGCCCACCCCTGATTTAGAGCCATCGAGGCAATTTAGAGTAATTGCACTGTCCTGGTCTTAGGACCACTGAGTCAACTGGAACGCACCATCTGTGGCCACTAAAACAATTTAGGATAATTGTGCTGTCCTGCTTCCCAGGTACAGAAGAATGTGCTTCGATAACCAGTAAGATCACAATCAATGGGATAGTCATGTTACAATCAATAAGGCATTCAATCGAATGGGATGATTTATACAATTCAGAAAATCAAAGTAACTTTTCTATTGTTAAGCCAAACAACAGGGTTAGAGTTAAACTACAGTTTCCACCTGAAATGGTTGCTACCATACTTCAGCTTCAATTCTGTCATCTACTGATGTTTAGATGAGCACTTATTTATGGTGTTTGGGAAAATGATGGGTCATTGAACATCTATCCCCACCTGAAAAGGCTCCTAGGAAAATATTTCTTCAAGTTGCAATTGACATGGGACTCCATTATAAGAGAATCTTTGGATAAGATCCCACAGAGCCCTGCTTCTCACATTTTAGTGTGTAGGTGAATCGCAAGATGATCTTGATAAAATGCAGATTCTGATTCAACAGGTCTGCTGTTTCCGGTGGTTTGAATCGTGGCCTCACAGATATCGGGTTGAGGCCACGCTATTCCTGGGACCTGTGATGTTACCTGCACGGCAAAGGGTTTTCTCTGATGAGACCTGGGATGGGGCGGTTACCCTGGCTTATCCACGTGGGGCCCTAAACGTAATCTTCTAAGAGGAAGGCAGGGGGAGATGTGACGACAGCACAAGGCGATGTGACCACTCAAGCAAAATGCTGCTGGATGGAGGATGGAGGCAGGAGCCAAAAAACAAAGAATGCAGCTCCAGAAGCTGGAAAAGGCAAGGGAACTGATTCTCTCCCAGTCCCTACCAATACCTTGCTTTCCACCCAGTGAAATTGATTTCAGACTTATGACTTCCAGAACAAAAAGAATAAATGTGTGTCGTCTTGAGACACTGTGTGAATGTTTGTGTTCCTCCAACATTCCTGTGTTAAATCGTAACCTCCAAGGGGGATGGCATTAGGAGGTGGGGCCACTGGGAAGTTACTAGGTCATGGGGGCTCAGGCTTCACGAATGGGACTCTTGTCCCTACAAAAGAATCCCAAGAAAGTCCCTCAGCCTCTGCCATGTGAACTTACAGCTAGAAGGCCCTGACCATGAACCACAAAGCTGGCTCTCACTAGATGCCAACACTGCCAGGGCCTCCATCTTGGGCCTCCCAGCCTCCAGAACTGTGAGGAACGCATTTCTGTTATTTACCAGTTACCCAGTCTGTAGTATTTTTTCTAGAGGCCGGAAGACACTGAGACTCCCAATCTGCTGTGATTTGTTACCGCAGCCACAGGAAAGGAGCCACCAATGCCTCAGAACACGCTGCGAGGAGCAAAGCCTTGTAGAAGCAAAGCCACAGACAGGTGGTTGTCAACCCTGGCTACGCATTAGCATCATCTGGGATGAGTTTGAAACAAACAGCAAAAAGCAAGCCCAGGTCCCACTGCTGGAAGAGTGAAGGCAGAACCTGTAAGGGTGGCGGCTAAGCATCACTCTGTACAGGCTCCTTGGGTGAATCTGATCAGAAGTCAGGGAGGAGCTGTCTCATGAGAATAATCCCAAAGTACAACTTTTCTTGTGTTCAAAGAAAACTCCTAAGCTCCCCAATAGGTGGACACACTAGTCTCCTCCCACCACCACCACCCCTCCACCCCCCAACACTATGCCAGCTTCTCGGTGAGGCCTGGGCCAACACCTCACGTGAAAAATTACAGGGCTGGAGACTTAACACATTATTTCATGTAAACTGTGTTCAGATTTGTTGTCTCGGGCTTATGAAGAACGCCTCAGCCTTTCTTTCCACAGGTGGGAGCTATTGCCAGTACAGCCTGCAGGAGGCCTGGTGGGTTAGAACTGGACCAGGCTTTGCTCCCTTCCCTCCAGGGCGAAAGCACAGCCGGGGGCGGAGGCTCCGCCCTGCAGATTGCCATTGGCCCCGCCCCACTCCGCTGTAAAAGCCCAGACCACGCCCACAATCCCTAATGCTCGTGACACCTTTTGAGTCTGGGGATTGTTGCGTCTGGTAGCCGCCCTCAAAAAGGCAAATTACTCCCTGGCCCTCCAGTTACCCTCTGTTGTGGGGAACATGAGGGCCTCTTACGAGCCGCTCAGGGCATCTTCCCGCCGCCTGGAGAGTCCCTTTTCTTGGGGCTTCCTTGGGATCCTAGTGCTGGCCCTAGAGCTCCTGCTACCCACACGCTCAGGTAGGGAAGAAAAAGGGTGTCAGCTCTGGAGGGAAACTAGAGCGGGTAGGGGAGCTGGTCTACAGGAGCAGAGCGCAAAGGGAACTTTGCTTTGTGTGTGCGGGAGGAGGCTCAGGGCTTGATGGACCAGGTGATGCGGGGTTAGGGTAGAAGCCTTAGCCACAGAGCCTCCGGGTTGTGCTGTGGCGGATTCAGGAGGGTGGGACCTCAAAGGGCCCCAGGGTCGGTTGTTTGGTGGTTGGCAGTGAATCTTGGGGAGCCTTGGGTGTAGTCAGTGTTTGCCCCTAGCGAAAGCTTGCACCTATTTGAGGACTGAGCTGATCAAGAACATATATGCATAACCCATGGACACAGACAACAGTGTGGGGAAGGCCTGGAGTGGGGCGGGAGCTGCGTGGATGGGGGGAAGTGGGGGACATGTGTAATACTGTCAACAATTTAAAAAAACAAAAACAAAACGAGATGGGAAGCCCTGAGCAGGTGCTGAAGGTGCGGGCCTGCTCTTCAGTGCCCAGTGTGTGGGGTGTTGTTTAGGCCAGTGCTGGGCCCCTGGGGAGGCTTTGCCCTGTGTCCCCTGGGCTTAGTGAAGCCTTGATGAGTGGGGTGCTGCGCCCCACTGGGTTGGGCTGGGGGAGCCCAGGCCGGGTGTTACCAGGCATATGCTTTACAGAAGGGTCCAGGCCAGAGGTGCAGGGTGTGGGGCAAGGAAGCTCACTGCTTGCTTTGTATGGGGTTTGGGGAGCGCATGTTACCCACAGAGCCCTTAAGTGAGAGCGAGCTCCAGGGCCTGGGATCTAGAAGGATTGGGAAGGACATGCAGTGCTTTTTGTACAAAAAGGTAACAGGCTGCTTGTTGCCCCCAATCATATAGGTATTGCTTTCCAGGCTGTTGCTTTTTTTAAAATTTATTTATTTATTTATTTATTTTTACCATTGAGTCACCTTCCTATTCCCATCCAATATGGATAATGACCTATGCTACTCCCGAATGTCTTTTGGTCAGTGTTTTTTCTCTTTTTTCATTAGGTTGGGTCCCATTTGAGGGGAGATTAGAAGCAACCTGAAAAGTACTGGTAGCCAAACCTAGTGAAAAATGAGAGTTATTAGAAATGAACAATAAATTATATCAATAGGTTTTTCTCCTATAGCTGATAAGTTAAAGCTGAAGGCCATCCACTAAGTTTGGTTCCTGTTTCATTGAATACAATCAATATGTATACATATATATGCATATTACAAAACATACCATCGAAGGGCAACGAATGAATACTTTGGTGTATTTCCAACCGACTTTATATGCCTGTGTTTCTATGCCCAAGTGATTTTTAGGATCCTATTACATATACAGTTTGTATGCTGCATTCTCTCCTTAGGAGAATTCATTCAATAAAGATTTGCCTTGTATGTGCCAGGCCCTGTGCTGGTTCTGGGGACACACTGGTGACCAATAACAAACCATTCCTATTTTCATGATCCTTATTTCACTCTTTGTCTGTTTGCACACACACACACATGAACATAAACAGCGACTGTGTTTTGCTCACTGTTAGATCCCCAGTGCCAGGCGCACAGTAACAATCAATAAAGATTTGCTGAAAGGTACTGGGACTGGCGGACAGTAACCAGAACACAATGCTAGTGTGATAACCCCAGTCAGGTGCCCTGGAGGAAGGAGCATGCTTCTCTGAGAGCATTTAACAAATGACGGTTGGGAGGGAAGGCTTTTCTGCTCAGAGGCTTTGGGGCTTCTGCACTTGCTGTCCCCAGGCTCCTCCTTGCTCTTGCATAATTGGCTCCTTGTCCTTCAAACGTGGTTGTTATGTTACACCATTAGGGACCTTCTCTGAGAAAACTATTTCAGGGAGACCCACACACTCCAGCTCAAATTCCCCTAACCTTCTGTCCCTCTTTCCAATCTATATGTTCTCTCCTAGCTCTACTAGAATGCAGAGATCCTTTCTGTCTTGTTACACTTGTGTTTGCAAATGCTCAATGTTTTTGCCTTGGTACCACCACTCTCCTATAACTAGTGATTTCCAGAAAAATGAAATATAATATTCAGTAGGAGCTAACAGGCCAGTAAACATTCAAATCCAACAGAAAAACAAAAACTGCCTTGAGGAAAATGAAAATAAAAAAAATAAAACTAAAACCTTACAAAAGGTATGGGATACAGCAAAAGCAGTTATAAGATGAAAGGTTATAGCTATACCGGCCTTCATCAGGAAAACAACAAAAACTATGACTTCACTCATGTGGGATATAAAACAAAAAGCAACAAATCAAAAAAAGCAAACAACACAACTCAGTTACAGAGAACAAAATGGTGGTTACCAGAAGAGAAGTGGTGAAGAGGTTGAAGGGAGGTGAGGGAAAGAGACTAAACTTCACAGTTAGAGTCTCCGGATGGCCTTTTACAACTTTGTACACCTGAAATTTACATAATGTTATTAACCAATATTACCCCATAAATTTAATTTAAAAAGTCACATAATTTTTGTGATTTGATAGAAATACATATTCTTAAAGTTTAACATCAATCTGACATAAGACCAATCCAGGGAATAAGAAAAGAGGTTTCTCAGGGATCAGCATAGACCTAGCTCCTTTCTTAGATCCTTAATCTTATAGGAGGGACCTCTGCATGCTTTTAGCCCTTCAGGACTTCACTTGATGTGTCTCCATCACATTATCTTACATACTAATTCTATCAGCTTTGTTAGTTTGTCAGGCCCACAGACAATTTAAAGGAAGAGAAATGGCTGAAGTCAAAAAGGTACTATTCTAGGAAGAAAAAAAACTACCAAAAATCCAGAAATAAAAAATTCTAATGGCATAGCAATATTGTAATACAGTTTAAACAGCTACCTCAGAAAACTTTTGAGGCCAAGCATGATCCATTGATTAGAATTCCAGTGAAGGAAGAATAAATTATACTTAAAATAATGTCAAAGTTATAAATTTTGACATTTAATTGACCTCTATTTACTCGGTTCACTGATATGAAACATATGACAGGAGGTCATATTTTAAAATAGTTTAGTCCATATTTATTTTGACCTATGAAATCCACGATGCTTATTTAAGAGTCAGCACTTACCATAGCATGTCTTGAGCACGCAGGGGGCACAGAGTGTAGTAGGAAAAGAAGGTATATGGTCCCTGACCTCTAGGAACGTGCCTCCCGAGAGGAGACTGAACCTCAAGTGACAAGTCATCATCAGTTTGGGTTTCAAACTGTGGAAGAGTGCTCTGAACGAGGGCTATATACTATAGAAGTCCTCTTAGGCGGGAGTTGAGTGTGAAATGAACTCAGGAAAAAATGGGAAGGATGCATATCTATAAATATATTTTAAACCAAAAATATTGCTGCTGTTTCTTCAATTTACTGTCAAAAGAATAGTCAGGTTATTCCCAAAGAAACCAAACACTAATAAGATGTTATTTAAAGCAAGCACAGCTCATAATCGGGTAAAAGCCTGGCACAATCACTTAAAATCTGCCCAAGGACCTTCCATTTATTCCATACAACCTGCCTGCTGCTAGGCCATAACCCGTGGCTGGTGGAAAAGAAAATACTTGACTTTCATGTTCTTATTCTCTCATGCCCAGATGCCTGTGATGACCCACCAAGATACCAATCTATGAAAATCAAGGGTAATCCTAAACCCTCTTATAATGCTGGGGACACAATAGAATATGAGTGTCGCCTAGGATACAAGCGTATTGTTCCTTTTCTTCCCATGTCTACTGTTTGTCAGCCCAGTAACACATGGGTACCTCCTCTCCAGGAGGCTTGTACAAGTAAGTGCACAACATTTTTATTTTTATTGCTCTAAAGATTTTCACACATTGTAGACTGCATATTCCACTATTAACATGATGGCTTTCTCATGTGGATGTAGATTTTATGTAGCAATGTACTTTTTCAGGCATTGAAAATCTCCAGGAAATTTTCAATTTGGCCATTAATGCTCTGGGTAAATGTGAATCTTAAGTTTGGCCATCAGTGGCAACATGGATGGACCTCATAAATATTATGCTAAGGAAAATAAGTCAGTCAGAAAAAGCTAAGAACCATATGATTTCACTCATATGTGAGTTATAAAACTGAAACTCATAGACACAGACCACAGTTCAGTGGTTATCAGAGGGAAGAGTTGGAGGGTATGGGGATGAAGGGTAAAGGAGACCAAATATATGTGATGGGAGATGATTTGACTTTGGGTGCTGGGCACACGGTGCCATATGCAGATCATCCTATATAATAAAAGGCTAATATGCAAATTGTCCCTACGGGTGGGAATTCGACCAACCAGGAGTTATACGTGCGCTGACCACCAGGGAAAAGCGCGGAACATGGCGGGCGTTGGTGACAGGACAGGCGGCCGGGGAAAGGGAGGTGTAATAAAAATAAATAAGACAAAATATTTCCATTGTTTTAATAGCACAATGTAGAATTTTTATTTTGATTCCAATCTGTTTTGACATTGGTATAAAACAACGAATTTGAAATTTTCCTTTTAGAAAAGGCATGTCAACAGCTAGGAGACCTCGTAAATGGCGACGTAGTCTACGCTAACGGAAGTATGGAGTTTGGCTCACAAGCTCACTTTAAATGTAATGCTGGGTAAGTAAACTGCCCCTTGGAGGAAGGCGGTAAATGTGGGAGAAGGTTGCTGGTTCCATTTTTAGTTTGGTTCTCTTCTCAAGCATTTCCATGATGTTGAGTTCATCTTGCTTTCTGTGGAACAAGTTGCACTTAACAGCCAATCAACCCTTGGGCTTTTTATGGAGACTGAAAAGATGTGCAATAAATAGAAAGAAATTTAAATTGAAGGAAAACAAAATTGTGTCATACTATAAGTAATAATAAGCCTATCATAGTCATTAAAAATGCAGTCATCGTGATGACATGATCCTAAATTAAACTATATAGTAGGCTGGAGGGTGGAAAGAGAGACAGGGAGTTAATCAGTTAACAGAAGAAATGGCAGGGGAGAGAAACCAAGATGGCGACATAGGTAAACACCGGAAATTGCTGCCTCCCACAACC